ACTGAACCTCCTAGATGCCGAATCTGTGGTTTGAAATTGCCTCCAAAGTCTATGAACCACAGATGGACTCACATTTAGCCATCTGGCCACTTCTGATTGACTCTGCCCTGCCTCTAGTCTCCCGATGGCTCTCCATCGTAGTTCTTCAGGCAAATGATGCCTAGAGGTCATTATTACGAATTGGCTATCTCAGATTTTCAATGTCGCAATCACAGTAAAATTTGTGTGCTTTCTCTCAAACTTGGACTTTTATGCTCCAGGCAGATGACGTAAGCCGAGTGCAGCGCCACTAATTTGCATATTGCAATTTTACTCAGCTACTCTTAGTGGACAACATATGCAAATTTTGCACGGTTTGGCTTACTTTTGAAAGAGTTATCGCTATTTTTGTGATTTTTCCTTAATTTATGATAACCAGTGTATATAAGTTCAAAATGAAGAATAAAACAAAGAAAAATAATAGACATATGAAAAAAAGGGGGTGGGAAATAATAAGTAAAAAAATAACAAACAACATTTTATTTAAAAAAAAAAAATGAATTGTTAAAAATAAAAAAAAAACCGGAAAAAAAGTCGGAAAAAAAAAGATATAATCTTTTCTTCAGCCCACACGATTATATCCGCAAAACAGAGTGCTTATTGTTTTTCTTAACTTTCTTAGTGTTTTCTTGTATTTATTTATTTATATATATATATATATATGAAAAATCGGAAAAAGAAAAATAATTATAAAAATAATAAACGAATCCGAAGAAAAAATCAGAAAAAGGAAAATATTTATTAATAAATGTCCGGAAAAAAAATAAATTTTCCGGATTTTTATAAATTTTCGGAATTTCTTTCGGAAATTTTTTTCCGGATTTTTTTATTATTTTATTTTTTCCATTTTTCATTGTTCTGTACTTTTCCATGCTTTCTCTATATTTTGAACTTGTTTTATAAGTTCTATTTACTTGCAGCTTATGCGCAGTAAATAAAACTTATTGTTTTTCTTAATTTTCTTTGTATTTTGTCCTTTTTGAATTTATCATGTATATATTGAAATAATTTGCAAATAAAATATGTTTTTAAATATGCACTTCTTTTGTATACTCTTTTTTATAGGAATCCTAGTCTTAGGCCAGATGGCGAATATGAATCTACTTACTGGCCTGTCCACACAGCAACAGGTCGTGAATACTTAACGTTAGCTGTCAATTCTAGCGAAATAGGTAGAGCCCGGCGGGCGAAAGAGTGTGCCTTTTGGTACGAGTATTTGCCCAAACTAGTGTCCTACACAGGTATAAACTCCATTTCCTTTTTTTTCCCTAAAGTTTTTATAAATTTGATCAAAAAATTTCTTATTTCAATTTTTGTCTTCATGTTCGGTATTTTTATGTTTTTGCGCAGCTATGGATTGAAAGTTCAAAATTATTTTGAAAAATTCGTTTCGATAGTGAGAGGCAAGGTTAGGGATTGCTTTAATAATATACTCAGTAGTTAAAATATGAATTTAAATATTTCTTATCGTGTATTAGTACAGTTTATTAGTATTTTATTATTTATTACTTTATTACTTATTTTATACTTTATTACGTGTATTAGTACTTTAGTGTACAGTTTGCAAAAAAAATAAAAATAAATAAATAAATTGAAAAAATAAAAAAAAGAGAAAGAAACGGATAAATTTTGATCTAATCATGGGATCTGCACGTTCAAGGACTCAATCTTAATGGTTCGAGGGGGCAAACTGAAATATACTAATTAAATAGTCTTTCTACACAATAGCGTACTTTCTCTGAATCTCAGAATAAACATGCCTTTTTTTTTTACTGGTTCAAATTTCTGACTCCCAAAATACAGAGGGTAACAGCAATCTGGGTAATATGCCATAAACTTTAAAAAAATCGTAAAACTTAATTTCTCTGGAACTATTTGACAGATATCGCTCAAATTTTGTATTATAAGTAAAAAATTTTATATCTTACAATTCAAAATTTTTCCACCATTATCATATAAAATAATAAATAATTATTAAAAGTTATTTTTTGCATGGAACTATCTGTAAAATTTTATAATTGTGTGCAAATACTTTTTAATTCGTTTAAAAAGTTCTCAAGATATGACAAAAAGTACAATCATATAATGAAAAGTAAAATTAACAATAAAGAGTTCAAACTTCGAACTGCTCTCCTAACCAAACTATTAGGACCATATTTCCTAGATTGCGACTATCCCCTATAGTTTAGGGGTCAAAAATCTACATTCTTCTTAAAACAATGTATATTTATTCAGAGAAAGTACGTTACTGTGTCGGATTTCGTAACTTAAAATACCCTTTGCACTAATAAATTAGCATATCTGTGGTCGCCACTTTGAACCATTGAGTCCTAGAACCCAAAGATCATCATTAGATCAAAAGTTATTCTGGTGCTCCATTGTTTTGCACACTGTACATTCATAAAAAGATCTCCAAACTGTTTTGAGTGTTTTAAACTTTACATGTACAGTACATTCTGCGTTAAAGGGTTAAAACGGGAAGTTCTATTTATAAGTCACTGAAATAATACGCATAATAAAAAAAGTTTGCACATTTTTGAAATAATGTACAAATATTGAGCTTTATAAGTTAAAATTTTTTAATATTATTATTATTTTTTATATTTACAAATAAATATAATTTCCAATCCTTCTCTCGTCCATCGGAACAATTTTGAACGATAAATGGCTTCGCGTACAGGCTTATTTTTCTTCCTCATACTCCATTTTGCATGGAAGATAGAAAATAAAGAGTATTAAGCTTACATTTTAAAAATTGCTAATAACAACTTACAGCCACGATGGCTCAGGGATGGAGCGTTCGCCTTCCAAAGAGGTAAACCGAGTTCAAATCCCAACGCTGGCTGCGATCGATGCATCCGGCATGCACCGAATACAGTGCTGAAGTGAAATATCCTCAGTGGTAGACGGTTCGTGAGTTAGAGTCATTTTGCGGTCAGGCTAACCCTGGGAAGTTTTCGTGGTCTTGCTCCATGTAACGCAAATGCTGGTTAGCTCCCCCAAAAAGTCCTTCACGAAGGCAAATTTCTCCCAATACTCGACCCAGGAGTTCCCTTGTCTTCTGGATTGGGTTCAAAATTGCAAGGCTACGGAGTTGAACATTAGTAGTCGTAAACCCATGAAAATTGGGTCGTCTGTTCAACGACGGTTATTAAAGGTTAGTATTACACAGCTTACTTAGAGTTATATCGAGACCATTACAAAATTGTCATTCTTTTCTAAGTGACATAAAATTTTTATTATGTGAGGAATATTTTTTATGGAGCTTACAGTTTCAAAGTATATATTTTCGAAAAATATATTCTTAGGCAAACAAGATAATGCGCGTCATTGATAACGAGTGTTTTCTTTAAAAGCGATAAATTTCAGTAAACAATAGCAATACTAAAATGTGGGAAAGGAGGGAGGTAACAGGCCCGTTAATATTTTTCCTTTTATTATATTTCTGAGATAAATAAAACAATAACATTAGTAACTCTTAATTCGCACTTAAACTTAATTTGCAGTGTCTATCTATAGACAATTTTTTGAAGTAATGAAATTTATTTTTGAAAATTATAAATTCCGTTATTCCTAGACAAAAACGAAATTTATTGACTTTCGATGCTTTTGGTTTCATGTTGATGCAGTTCTAATCAATATGTGAAAAATAAATATGCAATAAAACAATAATTTATAATAATTGCATTAGCATTGATGCTTAAAGATTCGTATGGCGTAAATGTGAAATTTCACAGTACGTAAACCGTTTCAAACGTATTCTGCGTAGAACTAGACTGTTAAAAAAAATAATATATATATATATANATATATATATATATATATATACGGTATTAAATACTTAACATGAAAAGGAATAAATTGTGAAAACGAGAAAAAAAGGGGGGAAGGGTAACTAAGACAGTGATTCCAAAATGGCTGCTCCGTGGAACCCTAGGGTTCCGCGCAAGAGTTAAAGGGGTTCTGTGAGTACTTTCTACAGCCAGTAATGAGTTTTTAAACCTCCGAATACATTTAGATCTAACCTATAATTCATAATTTATTTAATCTTTTGGTTACCTTTTGCGAAATTATTTCTAGTAAAATTCCAATGAAATATAAATAACATTTTTTAAAAGAAAATATAATATTTCTAACAACAATATAATGAACGAATTCTGAAAAGAATAAGCATTTATAAATATTATTATTTCCTATCGCGCTTTTCAAATCGAAATAAAATAATTAATAAAGAAATATGTTTTCCTAATAATAATTTTTAAAGTTTATAGCAGTTATTACGTTTTCCTAATAACCATTTTTAACGTTTATAACAATTATTACGTTTTCCTAATAACCATTTTTAACGTTTATAGCAGTTATTTAAAATTTTAATTTAGAAATAAACTATAATTCTGCTTTTTTTTAAATTCATTTTCAACTTATGTATATACACCAGAAAAAAAAAATCGCAGCTAGGCTAGAAAAAATACAAAGACAACTAATTTAACTGTCGAATATAAAACCTAATATATGATTATTAATGATAAAACAATAAAAAATCTTCACTTCTCTAAATAAATATTTTAAAAATAGTTTTACAGTTATATAGGTTATAACGTTCACAATTAGCTAAAGTTCACAATAAACTTCATTTATAAAGTTGGGGTTCCACCGAAAGAAAATTGATTATTTAGGGTTGCGTAGCTGAAAAAAATTGGGAAGCCCTAAAACTACGGCACTTGAAAATCCTGAAACCCATATTTATCTAATAAAGATATCCCCCCCCCTAGGGTTTGATAAGTAAGGGTCATCTTTTAAAACTGACCATAAGTAAATACTTAACTGACCATAAGTAAATTTAACTTAACTCTTAATCACCAAATACTTGTTTGATGAATTGAAACCCGAATAATAATATAAGCAGTAAAATAAACTGTTACCGTAAATTTTGGAAGAAAATAATATAGAATTAAACTAACTCCATGTTTAATAATTGTTTGTTCGCTGAGACAATGGTTTGATTTTCAAAAAATATTTTCCGTCATAAAAATTTCTAAAATAAATTTTAAGTGGGGCTATGATCTTAAAATCTGTGCCATAAATGCGAACAGTGTGATATGCTAGCAAGTGCTGCATTGCAAAAAATGATGGTAAAAAGCACTGACACTTAGAGTGCCAGTACTTTTTACCGTTAAGTCCATTTTTACCGGAGCATGTTACGGAATAAAAAATCTGATATATCGTAACTTTTACTGTACTCGAATTAAATTTATATTACTGCCAAAATTATGGGATAATATTTTACGGTAAAAATGCATTTTACAAAAGATGCATCCAAAGTTCTGGTACTTTATACCGCAATTGATCTTTCATAATTGATTTCGTAATTGAACTTTTCCTTTTATGATTTTTTTAATGTTTCTTTGTGATATAATTTGACTAAATAGAAAGGCGATAAATTAATAGTGTAATGCGCTTGCAAGTGCTGTCTATTTCTTATAATTCTCAATTTGATTTGTGTTACATTGACAATTATTAAAACTAGTTATGTAAAATCATGTAATATGGAATATATATAATAAATTATATCTGCATAACTATATTTATTACTAAAAAAAACATAGCTTCACCTTAAGTGTTTTTAATGTTAGCATTGCAGTCGTGATTATTTTAAAAAAATTGTCCTTCAAATGACATTGGTAATGATATCAAATGTGATTGTTCAAAACTGTAAAAAAATAGCTTTTTTTCCTAATAAAAACAAGCATTCGATACATGGTTCGTTACCTTTAAGCCTATAATTTTTATTTTATGTCTTTCCAAAGAAAGCGTGTAGAACAGTTTCAGAGTTTACTTTAAAAAAAAAAGGATTTAAAAACTTTCGACGTAAATCTAAAAGAGAATTGAAAAAACTAAATCTTTTTTTTTCTCTAAGGGAATATAAATGAGGCATAATGCAACCATGTATACTGCATTGTATGATTTAAATTAAATTGTTAAAAATTGTCTTATATTAATTTAAAACCAAAAGCTTTCTCTGAAGTCAACTGTTTTTAAGATATCTTTTAAAAAGATAACGCTGACAGTTGTTTGCGTTGTTTACATCATCACCAGTTTGGATGTCATTCAACTAAGCAACTTTGTATTATCTCATACAATGTCTGAATTGACGCGATACACCGATTACAGTAACATGAACAATTTAAGTGTATCATCATTACTAAAGTGACATTTTTAGAAGTTAAAGTTGAAGGTAATTTTTCTGTTACTGTAAATAAACACTTTGGAGTTTAGAATTTGGAATACTTGATATGCAAACAATTCTCAATTAAGTGAAGAAGTCAGAAAATGCTTCGCTCCGGTTTGATGAAAATAAACCCAATTTTAAGTATACACAGTTTGAAATTTTTCTATACAATTTATAAAAAATGGATATTAATTTAAATATTAACGACGGAAGAAGATGAACAGGATTTTAAATGATTTATTTAAATTTACAATTAAATCAAGGAGAAAAAAATTCTGGTAAAATTACCATATTCTATGATAATAACATTTCTAGTAAAAATAACCATCACTCTTATAAAAATAAAAAGTCTTTGAACCATTTATTTGGTAATTTTTCTGTTCATACGTTAACAGTTTTCCGGAAAATCTGGTTTTCAAAATTGCAGTTTTTATTACCTCACTTTTAGTAAAAAAATATATCACCAAAAAGTTAATTTGACAGAATAAATGATTTGCCATGTTTTAAAGCATCAGAATAATATCATCACATTTTACCATATTTACCAAATTTTATCACATATTATAAAACCATATTTAATTGTTATTTTTACCAAAGCGATTTGGTAAAAATTACCAAGCATTTTGGTGTTCCCATAGAGTCAGAATTTTACCATATTGTGGTAATTTCAACCATACTTTTTTTTTCTAAGTTATAGAAAAAAAAGTATGTTGGTTTATTCTAGATTCGACGATATCATTCCAATTAAGTTTAATAGTTTTAAATGTGCAGTTCATCCCTCTATTTGCCTTTTTTTTATTCTTCGTATAAACCGAAACAATAAAAGAAGTGACTCTCGCTTTACCGGAATAATCCAATCCCGGTAAAGCGAGATATTTCTGTATTTTTAAATATAAAATGTCTATATGTGTTTCAATTATGAATTAACTTGATTATTATTAATTCAATGATTAATAAGAAGAAAGAAGTTAAGAAGTTAATTTTCTACTGTTTCATAATTTTTTTTTAACTGTGTATGAAGCGAAATCTTCTTATTTATTTGACTTTAAAAAAGATTTACTATTCTGTGAAAATTCACGGAGGAACAATGGAAACTCATTTCAAAACTTTTTTGGCTCAGGACTTTGCTTCAGGGGATGCTTCAAGTTGATTAAGTATTAAAATTTGAACAATTTTTTTTATTTTGAATTATTTAAAATTTTATACTATTATAATTATATCATGATTTAATTATATCTCAAGATTTAAGTATAGCTACAATAACTTTCTTTTAAATTTTACAGATTAACGTACGCAATACTTTAGGTTTATAATTTTAATTTACATCAACAGTGCGTAATTAAAATTCCTACGTGTTTGAATCAAGAAATTTGAAAATGCAGATAATAAATTTCGGTTTGCCTATGGCTACTAAAACCAACGTCCACCGCTCATTAGAATACCTTGCTTTAAGCAATTTTGTTTAGTCTATCGCTTCCCTGTCTTTTGCAAAATCAGCGCAGACGAGTGTTACATGAATCAGCACACATAATGAATGTTTTGCTGCATGTGAATAGAATTAGTAGTCTGAATTTTATTCATGAAAACTAATGATTTTGTGTGTGTCAGTCGCTTTAACTGACTACTGCTTTGTTTTGCTTTTCTTTTGTAGTTTTGGGAAGTTGTGGCAGATTCCGACAAGAACCTTAACTTGGTCAGTACTTCTGCATCTTTCTTTTACTTTTCCCTCTTTTACCCTAACCTCTTTGCATGGATTTGATGTGTGCTCTCCTTTACCCTGCTTTTCACCTTAGTAACTAAGCATGAATTAATCTTTTTCAATTCGCAAAATTCTGCACATACTGACAACTATACATTGATGAAATTTTCATTCTAAAGTTACGGTAAAATAACAAGCAGCAGTCTGTCAATCCAAATAATCGTAAAGTTTACGGTAAAGAACATTTTTATACTTTTACGGTTTCGAAACCGCTTACAACTAGTATAGTTAAAAAGCCATGAATACAAAACTATATGTTTTTTTAACCATTTACGACTAGCATGGTTTCCCAACCGTAACAAAGGAATTTAACTGGGCATTGGATCCAAAATTTTCGTAAGGTGGGTAATGGAGTTAGGTTGTGTTTTATCAAATGAGTCGTGGAATGTGATTCAATTAGTTTATCTGGGTGTTTCGCCTATCGTAAGAGACAGGAATTGCTAGACATTTTGTGTTGAGCAACTTCATGGTGCTGCCATCTAGAAGTCATCGAGAAGGGGTTACAAGTTAGGAATTGCAGGACACTGAAAACTCTTTATCTGAAGTGAAGGGAGAAAATATTATGGTGTCAATGCCGGGACTCGAACCCACATTCTGTCGATCATGAGATTGACAGATTAGCCTTCTCTGCTATGATATGTACCCAGCTGCAAAGAACTAAGTGGCTTCGTTACGTGGGCCTAGTCTGTGCGAGGAAATTCTGGTTGTTTTACTGTATTAGGTAAAAACAGTTGATAAACGTTTTTTCTCACAGATAACAGTTTGAGTACCATCTTATCTACGATTTTTTAACTGTTTTGTTTGACTATGGTAAAGTAATAATTGAATAAATTGTTATTTAACCATTTATTCCGAGAAATTTCAAACAGTGTATGACACGCAACTTTTTGATTTCTCTCACACTCTCAGAAAAAATCCATTCAACACACTCAAAAATATTCATTCAGTGAACAATCACATTAGCTTCTTGATCCATAATTAACTGCAACCTTAAAATCAGCAATGTTTCTAGGTTCTGCTCAAATTGAACAATAAAGTAATGCATTCAAATTTAAGTATGATAAATTGGAACCATGAAAAGTTGCATCTAATTTTGTACAATAATATTATTTACTGTGCTGCAATATTTTTAACAATGCAGGTTGAAGTATGACATCGGTAAGGAGAAGGACTTATAATATTGCACGCAGTTCATTCAGCCTTAATAAAATACTTAGTTGAATAGTGCTTTCGTGCAAGTTGAACTATAGTTTCAAATAATCAGCTATATGAAAAATTAACTTACATGGTCATGTGGTTCGCCTTGACATCTGCCTAAGATTACTGCCAACGAGCAAAATGTTATGATTTGATGAACGCGAATATTTTTAAATGTGTATATTTTAATTTTGTGCACATAAAAATAAGAAAATATGGATTTACCCCGCTTCTAATTATAGGTAATTCTTAAAGTTTTGCAATTTCATTTTAATAAAACGCATTTAAAAAAATATTAGTGCATATTAAACATCCTGAAACATAACATAACCTGAAATAAGGTTGCAACCATAGTAATTTGTTGAATTACGGGTTTAACCACATGATCAAATAAGGTATTCCTACACAGAGAAAAAAAAACTTGGTAAAATTACTGTACTTTATGATAAGGACATTCCTGATAAAAAGGAACCATAATTCTGGTAATAAAAACCAAAATATCACGGTATTTAACCCTTCATTTGATAATTTTTCCGTTCATATATAACGGTTTACCACAAATTTTGGTTTTCAAAATTATAGTTCCTTTTACCTCGCATTTTGTTGAAAACACAAAACATATAAGTAAATTTAACCGAATAAATTTTTTTATAACATGTTCTAAGGTATCACGATAAAATTACCAAATTTTGTCATATTTGCCAAATTTTAAAACGTATTACCAAACCATATTTTATTGTTAGTTTTACCAAAATCATTAACAACGCTCTTAGATAAAAAATTATCGAGTTTTTTCTTTTTTTTTTACATTCCCATAGAATTATACTTTTTCGTCACTGTACCTGTAACTTACTTAATTATACGATATTGTGGTTCAATTTGAAGCACTATCTTGTGTTTGGCACACCGAATTGATTTTTAAGTTGTTCATCTTAGTACCTTATTAAAGTTGAAGAAAATTCGCATGATATTAAAATTCAAAGTACAATATGTATAATCCAACATTGAACCTATTATTTGAGCGTACTTTTGAGAATATAAAAAATAAATGAAATTCGCATAAGACGCTCAAACTAAGAATTCTTGTTGTCAGCTGTTTTGAATATATCATCAAGGTGCTTGCTCATGGGAGCGAAATTATAGTTTTCTTCAAATATAATGCTAATCAATCCTTTGTATGAATTTTTTCATGTTTATATCTTTCATCACGAAATACTATATTTCCAAGGATCTTTGTTCCGGCTTGCTTAATCTGCATAACTGTAGAAGAAGATCAATCGCTTCATAATTCCGTCTGAAGTTCAAATCCATCAATAATAGTTGATTTCAGATACTAATCACGGTCACAGTTTTCGTCACATATCATCTCCAGGCTTATTAGTGTCCTATTACCGGCGGGGCGAATCGTGCTCAGATTTGGTGAGCTCATGAATTAATTTTACTAAAAAATTGCCGATTAATAAGACCTGCTTGTCTCAATGATTAATTCATATATTCGTCTATTTCCTGAACCAAGTTCCAGATGTCAAATACTGGCTCGTTGCTGGAATTTGATTCAAAATTTCTCTTTTAACAATAAAAAAAAAATATTTATAGAATTATTGCATTTAAGTTGAGGTTCACAAAATTCAACATTTTTACACTGAAAAGTGCATTATCCATAGATTCTGACATAAATGATGTCTTTTGGAAGACCAGATCATGGGAGAGTAGTATCCTGCTCATGAATGCCTCTCAATTTTCTGTTTGTTCTCGAAATTCAAACTTTTTACAAATAAAATTGCATTAGCCATAGATTCTGACATAAATTATATGTTTTGGAAGACCAGATCATGGGAGAGTAGTTTCCAGCACATGAATGGCTCTCAATTTTCTGTTTGTTCACAAAATTCAAACTTTAACAAATAAAATTGCATTAGCCATTGATTCTGACATAAATTATATGTTTTGGAGGACCAGATCATGGGAGAGTAGTTTCCAGCACATGAATGCCTCTCAATTTTCTGTTTGTTCACAAAATTCAAACTTTTTACAATGAAAATTGCATTAGTCATAGATTCTGACATAAATGATATCTTTTGGAAGACCAAATCATGGGAGAGTAGATTCCAGCACATGAATGCCTCTCAATTTTCTGTTTGTTCACAAAACTCAAACTTTTTACAAATAAAATTGCATTAGCTATAGATTCTGACATAAATGATATCTTTTGGAAGACCAGATATTGGGAGAGTAGTTTCCAGCACATGAATGCCTCTCAATTTTCTGTTTGTTCACAAAATTCAAACTTTTTACAAATAAAATTGCATTAGCTATAGATTCTGACATAAATGATATCTTTTGGAAGACTAGATCATGGGAGAGTAGTTCCCAACACTTGAATGCTTCTCAATTTTCTGTTTGTCTGAATGATTGATTCAGAAGTTCGTTTGTTTCATAAAATGCGTTGCAATGTCTGAAATTTCCACTTTTGCAGGAGTGGGCTGAAATATTTCATAATTGCTACAATGAAAATTGCCTTGGTCATAGATTCCGATATAAACTATCTCTTATGGAAGACAGCTCATAGGTTAACAGCTTTCAGCTCATGAATGTTTCTTAACTTTACTCAGAATTACTTTTACAAAAATTTGCTTGTCACTGTAAAAAATTCCGGATAAAATTATGGTAAAAAGTACTAGAACCTTCAGTGTAATATTCGTAAAATCAATTTTACCGTAAAATTTTATAACGCAATTTTTATTGTAATACTTATTTAATACATTGATTCAGTAAATATTACTCTAAAAATTACTGTATATCAAAATTTTTGTTTTGTAAAATTTTATGGTAAAAATAAATGCTATGGTAAAAAGTTCTGACACCATTAGAGCCGGTACTTTTTATCGTAATTTTTTACCATGTGGTTATTTCAGAAATTCGTTTAAAATTCTCAGGGCTGTTACAATAAAAATTCCGTTTACCATAGAATCTAAAATAAATTATCTCAAAGTGTTGTTAAAAGTCAGCCACGATACTTCTTATTTTCTGAATTAGATTCAAAATGGCAGTAGTAGTCTGGTTTCTAAGTTAAAAGAATTAAGAATTAGTATTTAGTTAAAAGTTGCAGAAAGCATTTAGAGCTATACCGGTATCGATTTCTTTTTTCCTTTTTGCGTTAAAAAATAAAATGAAAATATATTGAAATTTGAATGTAGTGTGAAATTTTGATGAGCCTTTCAATACACATGATTAAACCACTTCATAAAAAAAAAGATTTTTATCATAATACGAAATACTAATTAACGATCAATTACTGCTTTCAGTCCTATTGCGTTTAACCTGTTTCCAGATATAAGTCACTCTTGATTCTGTGTTCCATGACTCTGAAACATTCTAGAATAAACACATTTTCGTCTTGATTAGTCTAAGGCAGCGGCTTCCAGTTCCTTTCCGGTAATGGAACCCTAAATAATCGTACCTTCTTTTGGCGAAACCCCAAGATAAAGTTCATCAGCAATTGTGAACATTTTAATCAAAGAAAAATTGCTATTTCGAAAATATTTAGTGTGAAGAACGAAATTTTTTAATCCTTTTACCAATAATATTCTTAAACAGTGCTTGTTAACAGTTATCAGTCAAAGAGTCATCATGTATCATTAATAATTATCAAGGAGACATATTTCTGTAAATTAGATGGCAAATACTTAAGTAATTTTTTTATAAATGCATATCCTTTGCATAATTACTCCAACACA